AATTCATAGACCGTTTGTATTAGATCCAGTGCTGGATCTCCGATCCATTATCGTTTTAATTTATTAAAAGTCTAGAAAATATATGCATTTTGATTAGATGTACTATATTACTTACATGCAGAGTTATGTCATTGAATTTTCTTTCACACATATATGTACATTGATAGACCAACCTCGCACACTTGATTTTGAACTGATGTTTCAAATGCATTAATATAAAATCATGTTGTAAATAAATTGGCTTGAACATATTTTATTGTTTAGATGTTACAATAAAAGGATCGGACACAAGTTCTTAAAACCTAGAAAGTCCTCTCCTTTGTAAATTAATTCAGTTGATAATTGTATGATAAAGCAAAAAAGAAAATGATAGGAAAAAATAGAATAGTGTATTTTATCACTGAATAAGAATATGTTTTAAATGCATGTATATACACCACTGGTAGCAACACCCCAGCCCCCACCCCCTCCACCATTCGTCATGTGCAAGGGTTGTTCAAAACAAAATGTACTTTACTTCATTTATATTTACTACATATATATTTAAACTAAATTTTGAAGTATTCAGTTGTTGTTTTTTTTTAATTTGAAAACTTTTTCTATTTACATGATCTTCCTCTTGTTCTCTTTCAAGAGTCCCGTAAAACATGTACATGCATCCAAATGAAGGACTTGCAATTGTCATTTTATGTTTGAATTGCACAAAGTAATGTTAAACAGATTTACTGCAAAGAACTTCAAATAACCGCTCCCCACGCTGGTGCCACACTTGCCAAATACAACAACAAGGAAACATTGATGCAACCATCAATTGTCGCTCGGGAAATAAATAAAGTAAAGAATGGAAATGAGTCCTGTTCATAAAACCGCTTCGATATGTGTGAAAAAGGCATGCGTCTAAACGATGGAGACGACAGTTAAGAATATTTTGAAAACTTATAGTAGGATGAAAATCGAACAAAAACGATACTCTTTAAACTTTATCAATTCCTCAAGTAAATGTTGGCTGCATAAAATATAACTTGAAATCACATATGCATCACCTATATTCAACAATTATTTCACTTTAAGAATATAAAACTCAAGCTGTGTAGAGTCCGTTTTTATGCGATAAGTAAAATTCGATATTTTAAAAAAGGGACCTGTCGTTTTTTCCAATAGTAAATTATATGCAACTTTATAAATTAAATATGAAAACATATATATTTTTACAGATTCACTTTATGGAAGTAAATATATTAGGTATATCGTAATTTATAAAGGGAAAGAACATTCTGATTAACACTCTTTTTTATGTTTAGAAAACCTCTAATTCTGAATAACTTCTCCCACCTCAATCTCCATACACAAACACTTAAACTTATATGTATAGAGCAGCCTGGTCCTCCGGGCTGCAATGATATAAGCTTGGAGAAATAAAAAGAAAGTACAACATACAGACCTTTTCTAGCTCTTAAATTCCCTATCAAAAAGCATGCCAACAGCCAAATAAAGATAGAACAAAATCCGATATGGAAAATGATATTCATCAGTGTCCTTGGGGCATCCCTAAAGATCAGTATGCTGTGCACGTGGTTTTCTGTTCATGGGTACAAAGACCTAAGATATGTAAAGGGTAAAAGCTAATGCTTTCAGAAATTTACACTAGTACTACGTTTTTATTATTATTATTATTTATAGAAAGGATTTGCAATATTTATTGAACTAGAACTAGAAATCTTGCATAATCCCACCTTCTAACATTCATTCCAAATTTTCACCAACATTCACAAGAATATTTCTCTCGTTTAATAAAGTACGTTTCAATTTTACTCTACACGTCACGTAGTCCCACCAATAGGCTGACTTAAATGGCCCGTCTCAAATCTGCATTCCAAAAGATATATTGCAAAAACCAAGTTTTTATTTGAAAATTTTCTTTTTTTCTTTTTTTTTTACCGACCCAAAATTTTTATCCAAAATTGGGAGAGGGCGAATAGACACAATTCTAAAACTGGCGTTAGGTATTTTTTTTTAACAGAAAATTACGATAAAGTTGATAATTTTAGTATTATAGTAAAGATCTCGAATAAAATTCTGATATTTTGATCAATTCCAAGAACCAAAAAAATATGTAAAACGAAATAGATCTTTATCTTTTTTTATTTTTAGGAACTACGACAAAAGCTAAAAGTATAAATACGCCAAATACACGTACATTGTTGAATTAATTCCGTGTTGACGATCTAAGTCTGCAATATCACTTCTTTTTGTACGTACGCTGTCATAACCTTCTTTCGTCATTTGGGAAATAGGATATTTAAAAAAAACATATATGTCATCAGTAAATATTTTGATATATCATAATTATACTTAATATATGTATTTGACGTTTTGGCAAAGATTTTTAAACAATTTTTCCCATCAAATCTCAATTAGTAAACTTAAATCTGTGATTTGCGTTTTTGTCATTGAAGTAAACTTTTAAAAAACTAAATAATTTCGATTTACAAAAGGAGTGAAAGCATTTAGCAAATGCCCTTTTCTTCGACCATTAATTACCCTATTCATAGTGCATAAAGATTGGATCTCTAAGTAAGTGATTTTTGAAATACTTTACTATGGGCGAATTAAATAAAAATGGCAAACAAATTTAATCATTTACAAAAACAATACAACATGCCGTATTTTATTTCAATTATGATATTATACATAAACGAGATAAAAATAGACAGGTGTACATGTAATTTTCAAATATATAAATGCATGTAAATATAACTTCATTTGAAAAAAAATAGAAAAAAATTCTTTATCCTTTATATATTTTTACATGAAAGAGATTAAAGCTTTATTTTCTATCAAACCGAATGTAAATATAAATATATTGTGTTATATATGTAAAAAAATTAAAGCTTGATTTTCTTCAAACCTGTGTTGGTTCTTACTTATAATTACGTTTCTCATTTCTTGTTTGAGATTGAAGACATTATATGTGCGTGTCCCCGTAGGAAAACTAACGGCGATACTTAATTATAAGGCAAGTTAAATGATATGCAAGGATAAGACATAAAGTATATAGTCAAAGAAGGATTTTTTCATTTAATCAACATACCTGAAAAAAAAACTTGCGTTACATGTACCCTTTTGAAAATTTTGGCTAGAGTCATCGTTTTCTTTTTTTTTGTTTTTTTTTAATTAAAGTGGATCAAGGTCCAATGTCAAGCTTAAGATTAAATGATCAAATGATACCAGTAAAATGCCATGTTTTAAGATATACAAGAGTAAAATATTAAAATCTTATCACCAACTCTTAAGATATATGGGCAATATTTTTCAAAAGTAGGTCAAGGTCAAAAAGTCACATAATTGGTATAAAAAGAAAGGTATTGTCACAGAAAAAATAAAGACCCTAATAGCAATTGTTTAAAAGATCTTGCAATTCTTAGGTTAAAGTAAAAATATCAGATATATCTATATTCATGGAAAGATCGTGGCAAAATAAAAAACAGTTGTGTAAAGTCTAAAAACTCTAGAACTAAAAAGTTTCATCCAGGCAAAATTTCTGTAGTCTTTGTTCAAAAGGAGTGCCCAAATCCAAGGTCAAGGGCAATAGGTCAAATATCTAGATACCGATAGAAAGTTCACAAGGAATATTCACGTTAAATATAAAACAATAGTTTCACTCTATCAAAAATTCAGGAGAATATTAAAATTTTCGTGAATTAAAAAAGAGACAGACTGACGTATGGACACGGCAAAATAGATACCCAGAATATCCGCATGTTCTTTAATTTTCTTAAAAGGAGATTAATACTCAATTAATGTGTGCTGACAAGGAAACTACATTAAAAGAAGTTTAAATATATGACGGTATAAGAAGGATAGATAATTCTTTATGAACTAGGTGGGTTAGACGTTTCTTTGTCTGTGTATTTATGAACATTGCTTTCCCGAAAAATATCTGCTCGTCTGGTGACATGTTAGATTTTGTCACTAACTCTACCATTTCCCACAATGCATCACATTTAGGACATTTAACTTCTGCGTTGCCTCCAAGTATATTTTCTTTGGTGTAATTGAACAGATTCTCCGGCTCTAAAAATTATGAAAAAATATGGAAATCATAAATTATTTCAATTGCTTTAATACGAAAAAATGATATATGATTTTCTAATCGAATTTCCTAAAAGATCAATTAGTCTAAAATATTTTTTACTCATATGTTTAATGTTTTGTTGTTGGATAAAAAATTGTATAATATTTTGATACAGTGACTGTATTTTAAAAGGTGAAAATTTAAAAATTAAAGAAACAACGTTGATTGACAATAATCAATTGTATATTGTTTAAAGCCGAGTCGGCAATATCTAAGTCATACTTCACCTTTGAACACTTCACTAATAAAAGCAAGAGGCCTTTGGGCCACATTGCTCACCCGAGTATCCCATATATTTCTATGTAAAACTTTGATTCCCTATTGTGGCCCCGCCCAACCCCCAGGGGACATAGTTTGAAAAATTTAGAATAAACACTAACCGAGAATAGTCCACATAAGTAAAATTAACCCCAAGGGTCATAAATTGAATGAATTAGAATCTACACTACCCCAACATACGTTCAGCTTTTTCTGGCCCTTTGGTTCTTGAGTAGATTTTTAAATGATCCATCCTATTTTTGTCTTTTCTTGATTATTTTCCCTTGTGATGAGACTTGTATGGCCCTTTATTTTATTCATTTATTGATTTATTTATTCAATCATTATACTTCATTTATTTTCCCCTTTACCCACGAATGCTTTGTAGCAAGTTAAAATGGGCCAAGTGCGTCTTTAGAAGAATTCAAAAATGTGAAAAGTTAACAGACGGACGTCGGACAAAATGTGATCAGAAAGGTCATTTGAGCCTTTGACTCAGGTGAGCTAAAAAGTTTTTTTTAGCATTGAAAATGATTTCAATGAACAGACCTGCAAAGATGTAGATATCTGAAGTTTTTTTATCAACTGTACGTCTTGCTAAAGACGTTTGGAAATACCTTGTACGGTATAATGACGTCTTAAAATCCGTAAAGTAAATTTAACATGTACATGAAATCTATTCTTTAGATATGATATTTGGTTTTTTTCTTCCAAATTACCTGTAAAATGTTTGCAACTCATTCTGCTTTTCTGAGATGCTCCAGTACTGTTTGATATTACATCAAGTTTAGGTTCTTTGCCTTCGCATATCCTTCCAACTGATCTTTCCGAATTTCCAATCATTACTTCAATCTGCTTCCTGTTTTCAAGCTCCGTGAACGGAGTTTCATCTTTATATAAAATCCCTTTATCTTCCTGCACAACCCAGACATTTTGCTTTTTTTCAGAGAGCGCTATAGATAAATTATCTCTAAGCTCAGAAATGACTGTCACATTCTATAAAATGCAATAGAAATAAAAATTATGCAGGTTTCAAATACAAACCGTGTAAAAACACTATATAGACTATGGGAAAAGCCTTTGAATATAATCCTTAAGGTAAACCGTACATGTAGGTTAACAGCATTAAAACTTCGTGAAACTTTGTATCATATTTTGATTATTATTCCTTACAATCATTTTGGGTAATGTCGCCAAACTTGATGAAAAGTATGCAAAAATTGTAAAATGTATTGTAAATCAACTTACACCCAAGTCCTTTAATTGTTAACATATTACATGTATCTGAAATTTCTTATCATGTTTTCCTACGTGGTTTTAATAATATATTTCGTCTATTTTGCCACCGCTAGTGCATAGTGCAAGATGCTATTTTAGGTTAAATTAAAAAAAAGTGTTTATATAATTGCCGCTTGTTGAAATGTCTTGAAAAAATATTTAAAAGACGTAGACAAACGTTCAAAAACTTTAAAATGTCAAGACGAAGTGAAATAAAAATTACTGAAAAATCCCAAAACAATAAATATTTCTTCAAAAACTTTTCTTTTGACTTTCGGTAAATGTGTTTTCTTTTATATTGCTGAATGCAAAATATATAATCCGACATTTTCACAGAATCTTTTATTAAAAATGTCCCATTGTGCAGCTCCTTTGTGTTTCGAAGGGACAAAAATTTGGTCTCTCCCAAGGCAGAAAAAAATAGACTTTGCCATTGTAAACATTCGGGAAGGGGTTGATTGGGTTTTGGCTGTTTTATCATGTTAGATCAGTACATGTACCTAAAGTTCTACTTAATGCAGCCCTACAATTTGCACATTTCAATCGGATTTTGGTGAAATATTCTCTGACATCACAGGCGACAATTGTATGAAAGATAAATGAAAAGTCACTATAAATGGACTTATCAACGACTAATGTAGCTTTATCATTAGAAGCAGAAAATATGTGTTTGATCAGAAAGAAAATAAAATACTGTGAAATCAACTTATTTTCGTGTGGGGTATTTTTCGTTGTTTCCGAGGTATTTTAAGACCCTCACATTTATGACCACGAAATGTAAATATTCATATACATTACTAAACATTCTCCAACCACAAAATCAAATCCCCAAAAACCAATATTTTTCTTCAAACCTCTTAAATTTGAACCCACCAAAACATGTGATTTTACAGTGATTTTACAGTATCAGAATTTCACTATGTTATATAGAATCTATGAATGCTTTTCTCATTACTAATTGATGATAAAAAAAATTGGATTAAATATGATGGCCACCAATATCATGGACAAAATGACAGTGTCTAATTTGTATTGGGAACTCCGAAATATTTGTCAATCAAATAAGTTAAATTGGAATTGAATTCACAATAAACTGAATATAGCATATATAATTTTTAGCTTCTGTGAAAGTCTCCATGAAGTTTATTTAGTTAAATAAATACAGTTTCGGATAAGAGATTGGTATTCCAAAGCATAAAAAAGCAAATAACAGATGTACAGCTGGACGGGCGAACATTCCAATTTGTTATAATATTCCTTCGCTTTTACTGCCTTATACAGTGTAACTATAAATTCCATTTCAGGCATTTCAATCGGGGATATTTCGAATTTATTGAATACCACATATACAGAAATCTAGATACAATATATATAAAAAGACATCAAGGTCCATATTTGGTATTTTTTACATAATTCAACATATGGAAAGTGATATGTTTATGTTTTTGTGTTTCCCACTGTCAATGACTACAATGCTAAAGATACCGTTTGAAATGTGTACTACTTTTTTTGTACTAAAGTTACATGTACCTTTACGCTGCATCTTCCTTGCAAGCCAGAGAGCGTCCTAAAATTCATCATTTTATCATTTTCCTCATCATCATCTGCTCTTTCGGAAGTTATTCTAAAATAATTTGGTATAAAAAGCATTACACAATCATTTTTAAAGCAAGAAAATCATGAAGATTTCTTCGTGGATAAAAACTAATATTCCTGGAGGTCAACTCCAGAGGATGATTTGAATTTAGCGATAAATCTTAAGAAACAAGCTTGGCGCGGTGTCATGCTCTTTTCCCTAAGCCCATATTGCTAGAAAACTGTTGCCTCGTGTAGTCAGGTGATTAGTACATAACATAAAAAACAAGAAAACATTGACGTAACCATCAATTGTCGCCCGAGAAATATATATAGTAAACAATGGAAATGAGTCTTGATCATGAAATCGCTTCGATATGTGTTTATCTGTACGGGCGAGATTCTGTTGAGATTCTAGCTGTGCGATATGTGTGAAAAGGCAGATATTTGGACTGAAAACGCGGATAAATATCAAACAAAGAGTCAATCCAAATATCTAGCAGAGCATAGAAAACATTTGTTAGGGAAGAGGCACATGAAAAAATATACAGCAGAAGTTCTTTCTCAGATAACAGTGTTTTTATAAATTGGGATTACGATATGTGTCTGAAAAGGTATTACATAAACATGTATTTTTCTATCTCACGTCTAATTGATGGATGACGATAAGCTTTTATATATTAATGCGCTATTGATTTTAGTTAATGAATAACAAAACACAAAAACAGAATACATAAACATACAGAATATACAATAATAAAAAGTATCAAGCTTGTTCTATAACTGTCAAATTTATAGGTTTCTAAATGATTTTGCATTGCGTATTAACAGACTACATACAGCACCAATCAGGCCAGCTTTAAAAAGCAGTCTCTGAATTGCTGTGTGAACGCTATGGGACTGCTGTAGAAAGCATACCAAGCAGCCCAATTCATCCCCGAGATTACTGTCTTGCGCTTCTATGTTTACTGGGTGAAAAAGGTTCAGAGTGACATGTTAAATGATGTATTCTGAATTGCATACACTCTATTGTTGTTTTGTTTAATTCTAGCAAAGAGGTGATTTAAACGAAAAATTGAACATTAATTCTATAAAAATTTTAATAAAAAGTGTTGGGTATAATTACTTTATGTCTTCAGGGCTTGTAAATTTTCACTATTGAAAGCTAGAAGTACTTGTAATGGCAGTAATTTAAGCTATATCCTACGGGCCTCTTCGCTCATCTGGACACATTGGCTCGGTAAAACACAAATCAGTCCAATATTTAAACTTTTACAAGGATAGGGGGCTTGAAATTTTGAAATCAAAATAAAAAATGGCTTTGCTGTTCTTGAGCTGGAGAATTTAAACTATTTCCCTATATCTGTCTTTGTTTAATAAAAGTCCTCCATTGTGCCTTAGGATCATGAATTAAACAAATTGAAATCTACACCCGGATGTAATGACTTAAACAAAATCGAATCTACTTCATATAAGAATGATTTTATTTCAAAGTGACTAAATAGAGCTTTATTTCTCTTGATTACATTTTTTTTCCATAATATCCAATAAAAACTTTGATTCCCTATATTGTGACCCCAATCGAGCCCGATGGGGGGACTCGAACATGATTTTATGTAGACTGTAGAGAAGGTTTCCTACAAGTTCCATCTTTTTAGCTTGGTGATTCTTGAGACGATTTTATAAAATACCATAAAATCTTCAACTTTTCCTTACAACCTCCCCTTGAACGAGGGACATTGCTTTATTTAAAAAGTACGCATTAAGTAAAGAAGATAATATCGGGAATTGTGACTAAATATGTTGTTGAGTTATTTTTTATTTACTGATTTGCTTCTTTTGTTTCCTCTTTTGTTTCCTCTTCTATTGTAACAGCTCTGTGAGGAGTTCCTGAAAAATCATTAATAGTAGACTGCGTCTGATCTTATCTAAGGCAGATGCCAATTTTTTTTTTTTCATTTTTCATTGATGTTTTTATGTATCACCGTTCATAATATCATCATCTTGTATTCTCTGATATAAGTTACGTACCCTTCGTTGCAGTATTTCCCTTGTCTTCTTCGGCGGGTTCCAGCGTATGATCATTACATTTCTCTAAAGTATAGAATATTTTCAAAATAAAGAATTAATATACAACTGTTTCTTCTTTGATGCAAAATTATTAATTTTCACGTGGGTAACTTTTTGTAGTTATAGAGATATGGAGGGAGCCAAGAATTCATGAGCACCAGAAAATGTCAAATATATTATGCATTGCTACTTAACACTTTTCTAGCCACGTGATAAAATCACCACATATCAATATATTTTCTTAAACCTCGAAAATTTGCCACGTATTTTAAAATACATTTATTTGCCTATTGAAAAAGAAAAAAAGGCGGCGCTTTAATTTATTCAAGCACATATGTTTCATGTTGTGTTCATTGAATAATTTTGTTTTTATCTATGATCGTTTACAAATGTAACATTATATGAAATCAGACATGAAGTAGAAAGGTGCAATAACATCTCTATTCAGATGTTTAATTTTACCCCTTCTTAATGCTAAGATAATAATAAACTAAATTTCTATCGCAACCATACAGATTAATTCTATATTCACCAGTGTCCTTCCGTCTAGATCTGCACCAGTCAAAAAACTTTTTTCTTTTAAATACCAAGACTATAATAATGGGCAGTAGAAGAGTTGTCATCACAAAAAAGCACAGGAGGCCAATCAATGCACTGTTGTCGCTATGTAACAAAAAAGAACATTTTCATGGTACTTTAAAGAAGCTTTTTTTGCCTTTTTAAAGTCTTAAGTATCCGAAGTATCAGAATGTCGTATAAGCAATAATCTATTGCTTAATTTACATTAGCACAAATGTCAGTAAAAGGCATTTACAAAATATAAAGTAAAAAAACAAACAAAATAGTTTGACTTTTGTATCTAAAACTGTCATTTTTTTGTCCATTTATCTTCCAAAAAATTATTTTTTAATTCATTTTTTTTTATACATCGTTTACATTCTACGTCATTTGGTCTAAACCCATGTCTTAACATTTAATAGCTATTTTACATGTACTTGAAATAGTATTTTCTTGTATTGGACAATTTTACTTAAAATATAATCATTACAAAAACTCTGATTATTATATTTCTCAATTCATACATACGATTCTCTTTCAGAAGCTGGTGTTTTCTTCTCAATGATTTTTGATGGTGTAGACTGTTGAAGATAATCATAGCATCCTTGATCTGTAATTATGAGATATTTATTTAACCTCTCTCCCTCGTTCTTATTCTTATACATACACATGCACGCACAAACAATTAAGATAATTCATATTTTGAATATATATCGCACAATTCTTTTCACATTTAAAGGATTCATTTGACAGAAATCTTGAAGGACACGGTGTGGAGAATTTTGTACAGTCCAACCCTGGGTCATTAATTATTCTCCCTTCTGCTACACTGAATCTTGCGCAAAACCCTAGAAAAAATGAAATTGACAAAATTTTATTCCAATTATACAACAAACATCTTTACAGATAGATATGAAAAAGTTATAGGTTTCAAATTATCTATATTATATCAATTAAGCATTCAACGAGGGCTACGATCTCTCATTTGTTCTGATCTACATTAAACTATTTTTTGTACAAGTTGTTTTATAACAAATATATTCCTAACGATATATAATTTTAATGAGACTTTGTTTGAATATTTTGAATTTTTGTTTCTTTGTGTCTATAAACTCTGAAAAATCATTAGTGTATTGATTCATTCTTTTAATGGATTTAAGCTTGACATGAACATTTTTAGGATTATAAATTTCCTTTACATATTGTACCATCATGTTTGCAGAAGTACATTTTGTTTGTTTGTTTGTTTGTTTGTAATGTAATCTTCCTCTTGCGAATGTTTCAATCATGAAGACGCAAATACTTTTTTACATACATTTTAAAATAAAAATCAAAATCAAAATATTTCCAAAATATATACTGTGAAAAAGACCCCCTTCCAAACACACATACACGTACGTACTAAATAAATAGATATTTGCTTACAGATTCTGAAAAGTATCATTAATAACAAAATTTAAGTTCTCAAGCCTTATTTTAAAAAAGGAAATGTGTACATAATATGAATATACACAAGATATATAGTGATCATTAAAGGTCAGGGGAAATTCTGGTAGGTCAAATAAGACATATGTCTAGAGGATAAATGATCTGCAAGCCAAGCAATCGGCTGTGACTTGAGTAAATTATAAGTTTAGCATTATAAACTGAAAACGGTGCATAATTTTAAGGTTTCGAAGTTTTAATGATTAAGGAAGCTCTAAACACTAACAGAAACTGATATTAAGAGAAAAATAAACCATGTAAAGATATGCATATTGAGACTTTTTCATTCATTTAGAACATAGGGTACGTGCCTTATTTGCACAGGAGAAAATGTTCAAAGACAATGGACTATTTGTGAGCAAAAATCACTGTTGTTTACTTACATTGGGAAAATTAATGAAAATAATTGATTAAATTTCTTACTCTTCGTCTTTCATAATGCAAAAAATATTTAATTTATCATAAATTACATTGTATGTAATTAACGGTAAATAAAATTTTCTTTAATCTTACATCTAAGGGAAGGTCGCTCTAACTGCATAAAACTACCCAATAAATAGAGCTCTTTAGTGTGCAGTGTTAAGAGCGTCCTTAACAACAGACTGAAAGAAGACATAGTCAAAAAGACAATGATCTCCCGAATAACGTTACCTTGACCTTATACGTCAAACAAACATGGCTTGAAATTATGACAGATCCCCTTGTTACAAGTAACCTCTATATTTTCCTTCAATGGTAAAAATTTTGTTAACTTGGATTTTACATCACATACAGATTAAATACATACCTGTAAAATGACCTACCTGACATAAACCAGGATGGAGCACAGACCTCTAAATATTTTGTTCCATCCTTGTTCAAAACACAATGGTATACAAACTTTTCAGTCTCAGTGCAACTCTGCAGTGTTGCCAGTTTGTTGCACTGTTTTTGTTGTGCTGCTGATTCCCATTCTGTTTCATTAGATGGACACCTGGACACGTAGGATACAGTTGGTACGGTAACTGGACAGGACAGGCCAAGTGATGACTATAAAACGGGGTAGAGATAGAAATTTAGAGGTGAGGGTGATATATTTATATGACCAATTTAAGAAAAGATATACTTACAAGTAATATCGTACTAATAGAGAGAAATATACTCGAAAGAAGAAGCACTCTCATCTTCAGTCAAACCAGAATCTGCAATAGAATTATTATAGCGTCAATTTGACACATGTTTTAAAATTGAAATAGAAAATTTCTAAAATAAATTTGAATTAAATTACAATGTACCATAAACATTAATGGCAGAGCAGGCAAGTGGATATGGAGCAATTTTTTTAATGATCAAGAAGCAGTTAACACAATTGTTTTATGATACAAAATAAAAATTGAACGGCTTTCTTATTATTTGAAGAAGTTTTTGTGAATATATATTCTTTATTGGAAATAAAAAAGACATACCCACAAAATTTAAATCAAAAACATCTTTACATGTGTAACCTAATAATACACACAAACCCACTTCTACAACAAACAAATAAGGCATTGATCATGATCTTCGAAAACGAAAGTGCATTGCAGTGAGCTTTTAACCAATTTATTTGAAAACATTCTTGATGAAGGAAAATTATAATACTCTGTTTACCCTTGCAATAAACCTTGACGGTATTGAAGAAAAGACGTTAACTTGGTAAAAAAATAACTGCTCTTTATTTCCATGTGAAGCAATCGAGTTATTTGACAAAAGGTTAAATTAACAATTAATCACATTTTGGGGAAATATATTGTGACAGTACCAATGTAGTAACTTTCTTCTCCGCTACTGCAATTTAAATTCATTATTACAATGTATATAAATTTTAATATACAGTATAATTTGTCCAATCCGGCTACCGCCGGTTCCATAAAATTTGGCCGGATTAGACAGAATCCGGAGTGCAGGAAAAATGCAGGAAAATATCAATTTCGAAAATTTTCGTTGTTTATTTACAAGTACATCATATACATATCGTAAATAAAATTAAATGATGAAATCAATTACTATTTTGGAGTCTAGAAATTATAAAATAGTCTCACATGACTGACTATATTTTCTTATTTGTTCACGAAGTTTGAAAGTCGGGTGAAATGTTTCCTCAATCAACATATACAGGTACGCATAATATAGGCCTACTAAGTATCAAGCGGACCGGGTTTCGCTTGTCAAAGACCTCATTCAATGTATTGACAGTAATGCACAATTATTTACGATTTGCTAATTATTATATTGAACTTTTAATTTTATGTAAAAATTTACGTCTTCCCCCACAGTGTCATGGCGCCATTTTGAATGCGTTCGATTTTTAAATTTATATTTTATTTGTAAATCGCGTACATATATTTTTGTGTTAAATTAAAACAAAGTTATTTTTTTTTAAATTGTAATTTAATCATATAATATATTTTTCAAGTGGACTGTGTCACCGCCGCATTTCACCGAGTTCGTCTCATGGCAGTAATAATCATGCTAATGTAAACACAGATTATCACATTCCCCACGAAAGGTGTTAATTGCTTTGAAGTAACTCAGGTGTGGCCGGATTAGAAGGAATAATTACCGTTAATTATGAGCAGTAGGGACCAGTATGGCCGTTCGGAGTACAGAATAGACAGTATCCGGACTACACAGAATTTTTTAAAATGAATTTGTTAAAGAAGTGCATGGGACTAAAATTTACGGACGGAATGGACAAAAGTCCGGAGTACTCAGAGTCCGGATTAGACAAATTTTACTGTACATGTACATGCATTGTCTTACCTGGTTTGACAGAATGTTACGCTATGTTTAATGTACTTTTGATTTGTTAAGTACTTAGTTTATCTTTAAATCGATATTTCCATAAGAATTACACTCAAAAACATATCGTATGTGGCTATGGTGCGAGTATCTTGGCCAAAAACAGTTGTGATTATTACTTAGTACGTACTTTCATCCTTTTTTACCGGACCAGCCTTCCTCTACGAAACTTGTTACGGTTGAGTAATCTTCATGGAGGGTTAAATAGACTGTGTATTATTTTTCTACGTACACTTATACAATATATTTCAAAATAAAGACTTAGAAGTATGATTATTCAAAATTATTTACTTGATACAATTTTAAAAAAAAAAAAAATAATAATAAATAAATAAATCATTATAAATCTGGTAATATTTAAATGACGTCTAATTTTTGTAAATTCATGCCTTTATAGAGTCTTTAAAATGAAAGTGCTATTTACAGATTGAACTACGTCTATTCTTTTAAACATATTTTAGCCAATTTGCCTACGTTCAGCAAGACGTTGAATTAAGAAGGAAATGATGAGCATTCGGATTAACTATTGAAAAAAAAAATCATATAAATTAAAGAGACTATTATTCTATTCAACTTAGTATGATTTGAACATTTTAGATCAAATATGTAGTGGAAAGAACACAGTTGAAAAAAAATATATAATGCATAAATCTCAATCAAAAGGAGAAGCCATCAATGGTTGTTTTATGAGTAATTAAAAATTGACGACTATTGGTTCAATATTTGTTCTGCAATAGAAGTCTAAATACTGGGTTCATTTTCCATCGTCCTACAACCCTGCTGCAAAAAAATCAAATATAACCCATATATTGAAATAAAAATAAACACTAACAAAGCTTTGCCACCCTTAATCTCGGTTGTCTTTAGTTTTGTTTAAACTTTTTTGCTTAACTCAGGAAAAGATTTTTTCAATTTCTAACTTGGAAAAATGTATTTTATCGGTAACTATAAGCAAATGTTAAGGTTACTACATGTATGTGAGATGTTTTGTCGTGCATTTAGCTCAACAAAAATACTTAAAGGAGTTAGGAACATAAAAAAGTCTCTCCTGTGGTTTCCTTCGTTTTACATTAAATTATTTATTAAATCACTGTCGTACATATGAACAATCTAGTGCAGTCGTCTGTATGTTAAATCATTCAGACAAAATTAATATTTTCAGTCATATATGATGTAACAATGGTTACGTATTATTCGTTACATATTACATAAACAGTGTCACTTCCTCATGTGCACTGTTTTGTTTTTAAAATGTATCATTTTGTATGGAAATTTCATTAATTTAACTTTCTATTTCCGATGATATAGATAAGGGCAAACTATAATAATGTATCCCTTTAAATCTTTATTGAGAAGTCTAAATTAAGGAGGAATGCCACACCAATTTTTTATTTCATAGATCTCTGAGTCAACCTTTTTCAACAATGGTTTCAGTATTGAAAGGTCGACATTAATAGCTCTTAATTATTTTATATGATTTTTTTTTTGTTTTTTCAAAGAAAATGAAAAGGAATATGTCCATCCAAACTAAATGCTTTTTTGTAAAAATTTTGCTGTAATTGAATGCATCACATGAATACCAAATAAGATATATATGGAAAAGCCGTATATATATTAAAAGTTTTAAATAAAAAAAAAATATTTATGAAAATAAATCACAGAATTTGTGAATATTTTTTAAACTTGTGGTTAAAATCTCCTTAAAACCCGACTCAACTGGGGAAAATATGTTTGTTAATCATATTTATAAACGAAGTTGCCAAATTTGAGAGAAATTATTTTTTTTTATTTTAGCCAATCCCGATCAAAACTAGTGCTAATTGTAACGGGAACCGTTACAGATGTTCCCCAAACGCTCCCCAACTCCCTTTTGGTGCCATATTCCATTTAGGCCCTATTAAATAAGACAACTTCTGTGCATTTTTGCCTTTAACAACGTTTTCCCAGAGGGATACCAATTATATTCAAATTTTAACATTGCAGGCGTGCGCATGTGAATGCACGTGCGCAATGATCATATAATCTTGTCTACAATTTTCTGTATATTTAAATATACTATATATTAAACCATATAGTCCAAAAGTATTAAAAATCACTCATTCAAGTGTATTTTTAATTTCACTCGTTCCAAATGCACGCACGTGCGTGCACGTGCATCATGACAATACCTTCTTGTAGGAGGCCCTTATATCTATATATATATATACTAAATCCCATCCTGTTTGGTTGAAAACCAAGGGAATTATAGCCATTTCAAGTTTCGGCCAATCAGATTGCAGCACACGTGCATGCGCGTGATTTCATGATTTTTATCTAAATCATATTGTAGGATATCACAATGCAGAATATGTTTTAAATTTCAAAGCATTTCGTCAAAAAACAAACGAGATATAGCCAATTAAAGTTTCAGCCAATCAGGTTGCAGCACACGTGAATGCACGTGATTTGTTGAATTGTTTTGTATATCATATTGCAGGATATTCTAATGCAAGACTATGTTTTAAATTCCAAAGCATTTCGTCAAAAAACAAAGGAGATATAGCCATTAAAACTTTCAGCCAATCAGATTGCATCGCACGTGCATGCGCGTGATTTCATGAAATGTTTTCCATACTGTATTGTAGGATGTCTTAATTCAAGACAACGTTTAAAATTTCAAAGCATTTCGTCTGAAAACAAAAGAGAAATTGAAATTTTTGTTCAGCCAATCAGAGCAAGGCGCACGTGTATGCGCGTGAGTTCGTGCTAATTTGACAGTGTCATATTATCAACACTATTAATATATTCTTATGTAATGAGTTTCAAAGCATTTCATCAAAAAATGTAAAAGTTATGGCCATATTAAGTATATCAGTCATATCACTCACTTCACGCGCACGCACGTGCATGCGAATGCGCGCAAAATGACATTCGTTCTGCACACCTACACTACACACCTATTAACCCTAAAAAGGTTTTAACTTAGTTGGGTGAACAGTTTCTGAGAACACTCGCGGACAAAAAAGTACCAGAGAACAAAGAAGAAAAAAAAAGAATAATAAAAAGCAAAGCTCGTTGCGCGCAACGAGTAGGTCTTCCGTCCTGTTTGACCGAAGTAGCTTTATTTCTTAACAAAAAATAAGAAATAACGCCTAAAAATGGTTTGAATCCTTTAAAACGTTAATAAAAAAAAATAAGCAATTTTTTGCTATTTCCGGTTTGACCGGAAGTGACGAAAACGGGAAAAAATTATTTTTTTGCTTCTAAAGACATTTGTTACCAAAAAACTTGTCAAGAACCAAAAATACGCCACTTCCGGTTTAAGGAACATCGCTTCAATAGATTAAGCTTGTAAAAATGCGTATTACAAATTCTCAATACGTTTTG